ATTACAAGAGGTTCTCGAAAGATATGTTTTCAGATTCTGCAAGTTTTTAACACCTAAGACTACCTATACTTTCGTATAGGCTTGAAAGCGATTGGCAGTGCTTATTATCTGGGAATCACACTAAATATGCTCATCATTGTCAACAACTACAGATTTAACAGGTGTCCTCTACATGCCCTTGAATTCTCTACGTGTGTTATTAAAAATAAGAGAGGCAGAATATGTCAGCTGTATGATTATAATTAATCTAGCGTAAATATTGCGTTAAATGCACTTCAACTATGTGAAGAATACAAAATAAATATTTGCATTACTCTCTCCTTAGTGAAGCCGAGATTGCATAAAAAGAACCGTTCAAAATATTTTCATGTCAAGAAAGATGAAAGGTGTCCGAGAAGGAGGTACGTTTATTTGCAGTCATAGTATAGGAAATCATTTTTCTTCTCTCGCATAATTTCAGTATTTTTATCTTCATAAAACTGCACATTTCTATGAATTAGAAACTGCAGTCTCGTTATTTACTTTAGCATTAAAATTGGGAATATTATATTTTAAATAATGGAATTTGTATCATTTCCGAGTTTTTTCCATGACATTTTAGTTCTAGTTTATGCTATGCTGTATTGCAGTGGGCCATATATATATTTGTAATAATAAAATTCCATAGTCAAGAATACACTTAAAATTATAACTGTATGTTCTTTTTCATTTTTAATGGCGATGGTCTCTTATTTGAAAGTACGTGGAATTAAATCCACAGCCAAGTAGTCAAGTTGTTTTTCCCGCCTTTTCTACACGTACAGTTATAGAATGTTCTGGAAATATTTCAAGCGAACTGGATTGGCTGACGAGGCTGACGTCATTTCTTGGATGCTCCGCCTTTCCAGAGGCTATAAAAAAACTCGCAAAGGAATAGCGGGGGCTTTATCTTAAATGTCACGATGCAGTAAACTTCATACAAAAAGTTATTAGTAATTCTTTTTATTTACTCCGGATATCTGATTTTGTAACTGCTATTTCTCCTGAATAATAATAAATGGATCCTGTTTTTTTTTTTTAAACTTATCGTCTGATAATTTAAGCTACGACTAAAGCTGGTACATCACATATATGTATATATATGGGACATTTAATTTTTCCAAAAGCTAGCCCTTTTTCAAACTCTTCCGCGTTCTTCTTTTAAGATTTCTCTGCTTTGAGAGAAAGAAAGAACATGATTTGAAAAAAAAATAACATTCGAACAGACCGTCGTAGCGCAAGAAGAAGTTTGTGGTTAGAAATTGTAGTTAGAATGATGCAGTGGTTGATGTTCCTCACCAAATATTCAATGATCTTCTGCCATAATTACTTGAATTAGAGCTCAGTCTGTAATACGAGTTCTTAGATTTTATGTGCACTTGAAAGCGGTTAAATACAGAAATATCCCACAGCTTAAAACTGCGTTAAAAAGGAAATATAAGTGGAACGATTTTATTCTGAATACAACTATATTCATCTATTTGCATTAATACGTAAGATAAGTTCAATGTTCAGTTTAAAATCCAATGTTCTGTGAACAGAACTTTGAAAGAGCTTGTAGGACAGTCGCATAAACTATTTTCTTCCTCGTTCCATCATGCCTTCGTGGTATAATGATAGCATACTCGGCTCATATTCGAGATGTCCTGTTCCGAGTCCCAGTAACAGCGTTGTTCATTTTTCACGTCTCCAGTATTAAGAAACCTAATGACTCTACGGCATAACTTCTATTTAAAATAAAAACAAGTTATTATTTAATAATCTTTGAAGTAATATCCATTCATTATAATAAATACACTTATTTTACAGCTTCCACATCATAGGTTCTAGAATGCAATTTTTTGGTATCTCTCCCATACTGACCTTCACGTCATTTTTGTTAGGCTGAATTGCACGAAAACTTTGACCCCGTTGAATCACTTTAATTAAAGAGAATAATGCGGTCAAAGAATGAGACATTATGGAAATAAAGATCTGTTTCTGAGCGGCAAAAGCTAAGGTTCATTCATTAGACGTCCTTTGCTCAAAATGCAACTATCAGGTTCAATGTTCCGTCTTACCTTCTTCGGGAACATGCAAGGACCTGACTCGGAACAGAGAGCTTACTAAAGCTATGTTCAAAACTGTGGGAAGTAGACAGGATACACAAGAAGGGTATACAAAACCCTTTATTTTTCTCTATTTACAATAACTTCCGTACTTCGGAATACAATGACCCACCACTTGTGGTCTAACGTAAGATATAAAAATAAAACTAAACTCTAATTTAACTTTAAATAATAACACGTGAAGATTGGCCTTATATTAACAGGAAGCCGTATGTAGTTACAGAGACTGTTAATACTACAATACGTTTACAAAATTATCAAGAGGATTAAACCTCTGGCCTGGAAGGCAACCAGCAACTGAGTAAAACTTCTAAGGTAAGCGGCCTGCTTCGACTCACTGCTTCCTCTCTCTCGCTTGGCAAAAAGCCACACAACTTAAATACTTGGCGTTCGCCAGACAAACTTTGCATAAATACTTTAACGCTTATAATTCTGGCCGGAAGTAGAAAATAAGAAGTGATAGTAAAGATTTAAAATAAAATAAACGTTAGTAAAACTTAAGATCCTTACACAACATGGTGCCGAATGCTCGTAAGATTCTTTAGTATCATTTACACAGTAAAGCCGAGTGATCGTAAGATTCTTTAGTATCATTTGCACAGTAAAGCCGAGTGATCGTAAGATTCTTTAGTATCATTTGCACATTAAAGTCAAGTGATCGTAAGATTCTTTAGTATATTTGCACAGTAAAGTAAAGCCGAGTGATCGTAAGATTCTTTAGTATCATTTGCACAGTAAAGCCGAATGATCGTAAGATCTCATAAGCCCATACTTTGCCCCAGAATAATACCGCTTCTAATATTGCTCCTACAGTACTTTAAGGCTCTATGATATCCAAATCCAATTATTGCATATTTCCTGCGCGTGACATGACTTTTCTACAACCAGTTTAAACAGAGGAATTCTAGTAAAATATAAAGAATATGCTATTAAGTTTACTAAGAGTTCCTCCTTATTTCATTTATAGACCACACAATGTGTGAATTCTGTGTGTAGATATTAAATAACATACGACGTGAATATCTCTGAAGCTAACACTCCTTTATCCTTTTATTACGTACAAAAACTTTTCTTACCTTATTTTTAAATGTACCAGTTTTTTTAAATATCGTATAGTATTCTTTTTCAAATTCTCAGGAAACGCGAGTAATATATTTTATTTCTCACAGTTTCAATTAAACTCAGATTTTAACTTTGTTTACAAAAGATTTTGCTGCGTTTCCTTAAAAATAATAACTGGTAAAATTTAATGTCTCAAAAGAAAGCTTTCAAGTTTTATATTGCACTCAAAGTGAAGTTTTTTTTTCAATCATTTACATATACGTACACGGTTCGAGAGCCTTTGGGCTAAAAATATCTAAAAACAGCATATCTTTAGAATTTCCGATATACAGTTTCGCGCGCTGGACATAAAAATATTTTATTCCGCACAGTGTGTTGCCACTGCTCGCTTTCAAATCGTTGAGCTTCTTAATCAAAAATTCCTTAAAGTTTAAAAGATATGAAATAGATAAAATAAATTAGAAATTCAAGATTCAGGCTTCCAGGTGCCCATATCCGTGTAGAGGACTACGTTATTCAAAATTTGATGGCTTTAGGTTATCGTTGTTTTCTCACATTGCGAGAAACAAACATACAAATAGAATCATGCAAGATTCTTCATTATTTAATTTCTCTAAATATAATGTTACGAAATGTCCAGGCGCGGTAAGATAGCTTCCCCTCAAAGCAGGTTTAGGTTGCCATAAAAGGCAAGGGAAGGCAGGGTTGCCATATTTGTCGAGAAATCGCTATTTGGCGACAATATTGGCGATATGCCATGGACGGATGGAGATCCTTCTGGAACGAATTCTTACCGGTTTAGCCCAGAATGTTCTCGAACACAAGCCAAAAACTATATAAACCCTGTTGGTACGCGGAGAGTCAGTGCAAGTTAGTGTGCCTCGAGTTAGTCAGTCCGTGTGGAGTCAATCAAGTTGACAGCCGGGTAGCGAGTGCCGAGTGGCTTGTCGAGTGCATCGAAAGAGTCTCTTCGTCTATCGCCGTTAGTGCATCGTCGAGAGAGTGTGTTGAGCTCCGGAAACGACTGAACGAGAATCGGGAGCTGTGCTCTGTGTGTCGTCGAGTGCACCGCGAGGTGTAGCGAGGAGAGTCTCGAGAGTATGTGGAGTATGACCGAGCAGAATCGTAAGCTGTACTCTGGTGCTTTGCAGTGGAGCTGTCTCCAGCGTTATAGCCTGATAACCTGAAGGCTGTGTCGCTGATTGTTCCAGCGTGTTTATTGTAGTTCTTCGACGACTGTATAAACGTGTTATTTTAGCTGTTCTGATTAATATTGGCTAAATAAAATGAGTTTCGACATTCTGTCAAGTGCTGTCGTCGTTATTCACTCCAAATCCGAACGAATACCGTAACGTACGAATGTAAAGGAAAAGAAAATTACGTAACAATAATACAGAGCGATAATATTTGGGGGCAGCAATTTGGAAAGCTACAAGGTATTTCTCTCGCCTTCTTAGCATGCCTTCGCTGGGCGCGTATTCCAGAGCTTCGCGGTTCGATTTCCTGCGAAGGCGTTGCCTATTTTTCATGACTCCTGCTTCCAAAAAAATTCTTATGTCTCTACAAAGTGATACATTGTTTATAGTGATTCGACGCAAAATGATGTTTCGAGATTAATAGTCCTTCTGGGCTAACGCCCCTTTAAGCTAATAACAAGGGACAATATACATGAAGCGTTACAATACAATGCAAAGATACGCATAAGATTATACGTACTACATTGATTACATATATCTAACTCTAACAGATGAGAAGAAGTCGATGTTTGTGTCTGCTAATTCATAAAATATTTTATTTTCTTATTTTCCACAGCTCTGCTGGCATCTACCCCTGAACCCTTGTGCACCCTTACGGAATTGCATCGGTGCTTGCAGTCGCTTCAAACGCAGAGCAACGATCTTGCCTTTGCTGCAACGCGATACGAACTCCTGAACGTCTGCAGGTAAGACGGATCTACCATTTATTCAATTATTTTGCCCCTCTTTAAGCCATGAGGGCTGAATGAAGCACTTTACTCCAATCAGAAAAGTGAAGTTTCAAATAGAAAATACGAAGTATGCGTTTGAAATTGTATTATAGAATACATTTTATGCTAAACTGCACAGATTCTACTGAAAAGTAATTTCTGAAAATGCAAGGTGGTTAAAATTAAAGTTCCATTTTGAAATGGTCATAAAAGGAAAACTACTGGACCAAATGTTACCATATTGGTAACCGTGTAAAGGATGTCATGGGAATTTATTTCCCGCAAAAAAAAGTTCAAAAACTCACCACCAGGAACGAAATGGCGCTGCATGTTATTGTTAAGCGAAATAAGGGTCGGAATCTAACTTAACCTTTTGTTATACGGGTTTAAGATGTTGTATACCTTTAAGAAACATTTACCTAAACAAAATTGCCACTTAAAGGCGATAGACGTCTGGTGCGCCATCAGTGTAACGGAGAAATCCATAACGGAGAAATCCATCCGTGTAACGGAGAAATCCGTCCGTAAAAACCACAAATTAGCGATTAGAAAATGTGAGATCGCAAATCATTCGGAAAAATGTGCGCTTTTCGGAAATCGTTTTCTTACAGATCGCTAATTTGGGAGTTTTGAAGCCTGAATTCGGCCCTAAGATATCAAGATATAGGTTTAAAACGTTTTTAATTGTTTCTAAAGCAAAACTGTTTGCGGGATTATGCAAAACCGCAATGGCTTATAACTGATGATACCTGACCGTGTGAATGACGTGATACGTGAACTGCAATAATGTGGCATTTCAAACAGCACGATTTTTATGCAGGGCGGGTCCCCTCCGCACATTGTTATATGTGTAACACAGTTACTTAAGCAACATTTCACGAATGAACGGATTATAGGACGACATTTCCTAATTCCTTGGTTACCTCGGTCACTAGACACTTATCTCTGTAACAAGTGGTTCTCTCAAAAGCACTATTGATGTTGTTAATCTAAACAATTTGGCGGAATTGAAAGACGTGATACACCAACATGTCCGTAACATTCCTCCTGATATGCTAAGAGCTGCTATTGAGAATGCGGTAACAGAATTTAACTAGTTTTCGGAAAATGGTGGATGCCACATTGAACATACTTTATAACACGTTTCAGGAAACGATTAAACACATATTAAACCAATGTCTTCATGTCTTATATCGTTTAACAATATTTCATACAGCCTGGTGGTAAGATTTTTAAATTTTCTTTTCGGGAAAAATAAATTCCCATGACCTCCTTTACACGATTACCAAGTTTGATAACATTTAGACCAGTAGTTTTAATTTTATGATCATTTCAAAGTGGAACTTTAATTATAACCACCTTGTACAATGACACAAATCCCTGAGTGTTTTAGTGTTTTTATACCTAAAGGATTATGTATAAAGAACATGAATAAGTACATAAAGAACTGTGTATTCTTTACGCCCGTTTTTTCTATTTTGAATACATACAATCTCCCCCGTGTACCAAGATGTACAACACAGGGTTTACAAAAGTAAGTTAACTAAAACATTAAATACTATATACATAAAACAGTTTTGCAAGCACGATCTAGGGCCATCGAAGGCAGAGCAGAAGCAAATTAAATGTTCTACATTTGAGGTTTATTTTTTGAACGTTCACATAAATTATTTTATTTCAGCCTGAAACGAAACAGGTAACTTGCAAATTTACCGTGACCAGAAAGACTCGGAAAGCAGTCTATGGTGAAATGGAAGGAAAAACTTTTTGGTGCCCTCAGTATTACAAGACGAAATAAATTCCTTATTCCACTTAGCTAAAAGCTTCTTATAATGAAAAAACTTCCAATAGCTCTTTGGAATACTAATATTGATATCTATGGATAAATTTAAGGCATCTTTATCTAAGAAATAAACTGTTTCGTTTCCATAGAATCCATGATGACTACGCACATAAACAAAACGGTTATCAATTCCCCTATTTCTACGAAAATTTACAGTTGATAGAGTTTCGATTACTAATTTGTCGCTGCTGGAAATATTCTCCAAAAGGTGAATTATGTATTATTCTATGTGTATTAATTAATACGTAACATTAATTTTAATAACAGGTTCATAATGAATTTTTTACATCAAGCTTTATTCTAATAAATTTTCAAATTTTAAAAGATAACGTTTCTCCATAAAATGTCTTCCCAAAGTAGTTTATTCGAACGTTGTGATATGGTCTCTCCTTTCCCTTTTTAATATGACACTCTATAGCGATCTCAAAGGATTATTATAAAAAATGAAAATCTGAAAGCTTTGAGATTTTATAATAGGCGCAAAGGGCATTTTTTAACGTTTTGTGTGTGTTACCTTTATTTATTAAATATCATGTTATCAGCTTCTTTGCACTTAAAGCACATGAAATTCAATTCAACAGCAACATTACAAAATAGTTAAAAACAGCATAACTTTAGGATTTCCGTCAGACAGTCTCGCGCGCTGGAGATAAAAATATTTTATTTCCGCAGTGTTTTGCCAATGCTCGCTTTGAAATCGTTGAGTTTCTTAATCCAATATTCGCTACAGTTTAAAAAATATGAAATCGATAATAAAACAAACTCGAAATTCAAAATTCGTGCTTTCAGATGCCCATGTTCGGTTGGAGGACTACGTTACTCAAAATTTTATGGCTCTAAGTACCGTTTTTTTTTCACAATGCGAAAAAACATTCATACATTCATACAGATACTTCATTATTTAGTTTATTTAAATATAAAACATTTCGATAATATTTGGTGGAAACAGTTTGAAAAATGAAACGACCAAAATGCCGCTTTGAGAGTAATAGCCCTTTGGGTTTAACGCCTCTTAAGGCTAAAAGTATCAAATGACACTAGAATTTTCGAGGCCCGTTTCTTAAGTGAGCATAATTTTGATATTATGTAAAAACAAGGCCAATGTTTTTAACAAATTAATTTTTACATGAAAGCCTACTTTTCAGTATAATTTGCGCCTACATTAAAATATTTATCATAGCGTATGGCCAGCTTTTGAATTCCAGCTTAAAAGAAATCATCCCCTTTATTGATAACCATTTTTAGTAATAATCGCAAGCAAATTTTCTGATAATTTAATCGTTTTGTTATCATTTCATGCAGAATATCTCTGCAGACGCAAAAACAATTCACAGATAATGAAGAATTCGTAAACAATGATCGTGACGGAGGAAGATGGAGATCGTTCGTTATTACTGAAATAATAGTGAAACATTTGATGAAATATTTCGAGAAAACAAGACTTTTGCGATTTCATCATTAATGGATTTCTGAAGTTTCAGAAAAGTGTTTCTACATGGAATTTTGACACAACGCTTACATTATCGTTAAGTTATACTCACGCTAGCTACCAGAAATGGTTTTTAAATGAGATAGCAGATTTCTATAAACATGGAATTCAAAAGCTGGTCATACGATACGATAAGTGTCTTAAGATAGATGGCAATTATGTTAAAACGAAGATGTAAACTGAGGCTTTCGCGTAGAAAAAAATTGTTAAAAATTTACCCTTGCGTAAATGTAGCATCAAAACGTTCTTACCTAAAAAGAACATGCTATATATTTATTTTTACAGTTGATTTATGTTTGCATATTTAAAGGTACATAAAAGCGGATGAGAAAGGTATTTATTGATGTCCACAGTTAAGTATTTCCATATAAGTACATAAAAAAATAAGATAAAATGGCATATAGTAAAATATTTTAAATTACAACTAGTTATTTTTAACATTTATCTAATTTAGTACAATTTTAAGTAGACACCGAAAATTCTCACTGGTAGTTATTAGAGCATTTTAGGCATTAGAAACAATTCTGATTTTCTTAAAAAAATGCTTGTAACAAAAACTTATACTTTTAACTACCCTTAACTGTTTTACATAATTATATACAGCTTTTCATGCTAAAGGCATGTTTTTATTTTAACAAAATATAGCAAAAACTAGCAAAAATTATTAAACTGAAAATTTCAATAATTAACTACATTTTGTCACTTAATTGTAAAATGTTAATGATTTTAAAAATAAAAATATATTGTTGTAATAGGAAAATATCTATATTTACTGTATTTTAAAAATGAAATCAGATAAGGTAATTAACACATGCTAAGGAAGTGTATCTTCCCGTAATTTAGTGCCTTAAAATGGCAGAAAGAATTCCAGTTGCTGTTTTTAGACAGGTTACCAATGTCAAATGACCTGATATACTGCATTCACTTCTTTTGGCACTCTTATAACAGATCTGTGATGTGTCCTTTATTCACTTTAGGATGCAACACTAATTAGGTTTTTGAATCTGTGTAACAATTAATGTTACTGTTTCCCTTTAACACTGTTCGTAATTAAGTTATTAAGTTTCTGGAAAAAATTATGAAGGTATTTTTTTTTTCTGATAATCTTTCTTATCTTCCTTTGCAAACATCGTATATCATGTATTGGAAAAAAATGTTCTTTTAAGTATATTCGCCTGCCTGCAAAGTTGCGATTGAGAAACAGAATGAAGGAAAACAGAAAAGAAGCTCTTTATTATATATATATATGAGATAAATATATATATAGATAAAACATATGTAAATATGAGCTTCATAATTTAATTTAGTGTTATAAAGCCTTCTCTTGGCGAGCTTCCGTATTGGATAATTGCGCACTTCAGCTTCTACCTCTATCGCCGCTTGGACGCTATTTCGATGTGCTCTCCTGCTATTGTAAAAGTATCAAAAATGTAAATGTTTTTGAATAGGGAAAATTAGAGCTCCAAGTATGTTGCGGGCCATAAATTTCAAATGAAATAAAAATGAATATTTAATTTTATTCGGCTGCCAAGTTTTCTAGTCATTACGGATTCAAAATTTCAGCAAGCTACCCAATCAAAATTCATCCTCTTCAATATGGATATACGTTCCATGCCATCTAGGAGCTGCGCGATCAGTAGTTCT